GGGGGGGGGGGGGGGGGGGGGGGGGGACAGCAGGGGCGGAGCAGCCACAGCAGCCGCCACGAGAGGCGGCCAAAGTGCGCAGCGATGCCGGGTCCCTCTGTGTGGCCCTCTTTGACGCACACTCATCGAGGGTCATGTTGTCCGAAGCGTAGTGATTGGTCGAGGTCCCGGCCGGGAGGCTGACCGGGCCGTAGTAGTCCGGCTCAAAGCGACCGGCCGGGTGCCCACCCGACGGCTGGCCCGGCACCGAGGCGGCTCCCAGCTGCGGCGACTGCTGTTGCGCCTCCGCCTCCGAGGGCCGATATGCCCGGAGCAAACGCCGGAACCGATCAATGCCCCGGTGCCGGGATCGAGGATCGGCGCTCAGCGGGGACACCATCAGCGCGGCCAGGTGCGGCGCCACGGGCCCCAGAATGTTGGTGAAGGCCGGGCCACCGCCACCGCCAGTGGGCGGGGCCATCGCCGCCGTGGGTGAGGTCGGCCCCTCGGCGATTGGGCGCGCCTCCACCGAAATGTATGGTGCTGACCGCTCAACGAGGTCCAGGAAGTCCAGATGGGCATATTCCCGGGTGACCTCGGACCCGGGCATCGGTGCGGGGGCCGCTGTGGCCATCTTTTCGTGGCCGGGATGTGTGGCGCGAGTGTGTGGCGTGCGGCGTGCGGCAGCTGGGGCGAAGAGGGCGGAGGGCGGCAGGAGGGCGTGCGGAGCAGGCGCGAGGCGAGAGGAGGAGAGGTAGGGCGCGAGAAGGGGGGCAGTGTTGCGCTGGGGCCGATGGGATCAGGTGCCATCTCCTCCCCTCCTTCTTCCTCCCGCTTTCTCTTTCTGTCTGGTCTGTGGTGCGTGGGGCGCACTTCGTCGTGGGCTCCGGGAGGATTTCCGGCTGGCCCCTCCCCCAGCCGGCCAGGCAGCGCGCCCGAGCCCTGAAACAGGCCCACCGGTCTACACATGAATCCTCGCGTGATATCCAAGGGCCATTGGGTTGGCACTCGCGACACGCCGGCCGTCGCCGACCTCCGTGGGGACTTATGGCTAACGCTTGTTGTGGGGTCTGCTCCTCGGAGTGTGATGGAAGTTCCCCGGGTGGGGCGACAGGGGGAGGGGGTGGCGGGGCGTTCGGCGGTCCCGCCCATATTCTCTCTCTCTCTCGCTCGCTCTCTCTCCCGCTCTCTCTCTCTCTCTCTCTCTCTCTCTCTCTCTCTCTCTCTCTCTCTCTCTCTCTCTCTCTCTCTCTCTCGCTCTCTCTCTCTCTCTCTCTCTCTCTCGCTCTCTCTCTCTCTCTCTCCCCCTCCATCTCTCTCTCCCTCCATCTCTCTCTCCCTCCATCTCTCTCTCTCTCTCTCTCTCTCTCTATCTCTCTCGCTCGCTCTCTCTGGCGCCTTGCCATCCTCTTGTGGCCCTGCTCGCT